CATTCGCTTTCCTTTTTTCTGGTGAAGTAAAGTTTCTTCAAGTACAGAAAATACCTGCTGAGCCTGACAGAATTCTTGTGTAATTATAACTTCCTGTGGACTGAACTGAAATCTCAGTCAATGCTATCAGCCGTACTGATTATCTCCTGTGAAGTACAAAGCATTGCTCTCTATGTAATCAAGATGATGAGAGGGGAGGTGTTTGTAGTCTGGTTCAAAACAGTAGCCTATGGCGACAACATTGGTCCTCCGTAGATACAGTGGATTAGTGAGTGAAGGTACTCAGGGACAGAAAGTGAGTAACATAAAGGGGGGAAAAGCCTTAAAAAAGAAAACTAATGCAGCCACCACATTAGAGGACCTCATCCCCGAGGTTTTCCTTGAAAGCCTGTGTCAGGACAAGATCTAAAAAAACATATTTGGCACAGCTGCCAGGTACATGTACATTTTAGCATATCCTCTCTTTTAAAAAAAAAAAGGCTATTTTACTTACATAATGCCACGTTTAATTGGTGTTGCTGTCCCAAGCTTTTTCTCTGGCCGTCCAGCGGTGAGGTCCTCTCAGGATCCAAAAGAGCATTGTCAAGGACCAGCAGGCGAAGGACCATCTACAGTGCTCAATTTAATGATTCCCTGCACCCTGAACCCACACTGGCAAGGGACCTGGATGGTGGACTTAGATGAGTATAGCTTGCTTATCCAGGGAAGAAAAACAACCATGCAGGATGAGTTAAAGAGGGTTCATATTTTATCAGGAGTGGGGCTTTAACATTTTTCAGCACCCACACCCTTCCCATGCCAGATGTCTGCTGTTTAATACCCTCTCCTGCTATGTCAGTGCAACAATGATAGTGTTGTCAGCTCACTAGAGGAAGATACAGTGGGAGCTAACTGCATTTCAGGCAGGATCATTAGGTATTTCTAATTTTAAAGAGCCATAACATAGAAAAATGTGCATGTATTGGAGAGATGTACTGAATTTGCCCACATATACCCTTTAATGATTGAGGTGTGGGCCTTTTACACACACAATCACGTTAATGCAACAGTAGACTGCACTGAGAACCAGAACTGAGACCATTTTATCCAGTGCCATTCACATACTATATACTGTACTGTGGACTTTCAAAGAATCAAGCATGCAGACGATTACATATGTATGGTTCATTGTAACCTATGGTACTACAATTCAGAATGCACATGATAAATGCATATATTTTTTTGAATATTCATAAATTATGTTTTTGTAAATGTAATTATCTAAATTAGGCCTTAGGCCCCTTTCAGACAGGAGGTCCGATTAGGTCCGCTGTCAGTTTTACAGGCAGATCTGATCGAAAGCCCTATGTGTGTCCGTTGACATCTGACTACCCCGTCTCCATCTTGGTCCGGAAAACAAAACGGAACAGAGTCAATATTGGTGGACCTGATCCTGGCGGATTGGGGGTACTTTGATGTAAATGGACACATGTTTGCTTATGTCCAATTCCGTAGACTTGAAGTGACATTAAAGTAAAAAAAAAAAAATGTCCTCCCCCCCATGTTAGCACTCACCATAAATGATGTCTTTTATTCCGATCTTCTTCTTTCCTGATGTTTTCATCTGTCCCTCCAGCGGTGCGGCGGCTCTCCGATCCAGCGCTGACACCTCTCTGCTTGCAGGCACTTCGGATCCAGCGGTGTCTGCATGCCGGTGCACGCGTCCATAGACTTACCTTGCGTCTCTGCTCGTCTTCCGGCCGAGAATTGGAACTGCACATGCGCCCGCCCCAAGATCATTTGCGGCCGTACGAGGATTTCCTGATTCTCGGTGAGGGAGCGCGCAAAGAAAAAAAGTTAAGTTTAAACCGCTGTTTTAGCGGGTTTTTTTGTTTGTTTTTTTTAACTGTTTCCCTACATCTACTGCTTGATAGCAGTAGATATAGGCAAAAAAACAGGAGGGTTTAGAACCCCTTTAACATTGGTCCCACAAGTTCCGTTTTTTCCTCCATTGTATGATGGAGGAAAAAACTGGAGGGACACAGATGTTACAACAGTGGTATTCATTCCGAACTGCTTTTATCAGCAGGGGATCAGTGCACGGATCCTCTGCTTATCGGAACCAATAGTGCCCATGTGAAAGGGGCCTTCAAATTAACTTGTGCCTTGCCCATACAGGGTAAAGCAACAGGTTCATGTTAAAGCTAGCCCATTCTTACATTCATTTTGCTCACCCACCACACCATTTGGCCACCAGTAGTGATGAGACGATGCCCAATGTAAGCTCCAAATTTGGGCACCTGAGCAGCCAATCACCAGTGCTGTAATGTGGGAGGAAGGGAGGGAATCACATACTCCCTATACCTAGAAGTAATGGATATTTATTGTTGCTCCTGGAACTGTGTGATATTCCCTGGCAATACCAATAGTCACTATGTATAGACAGAAGGCTAACAAGCATGTGATAACAAACCCAAAAATACATTTCGAGCCACTGCACCTTGAACCCAGGAAATAAAATACAATTGCAGTTTTTCAGCTTGTCCACATTGCACCTACGTGGAAAAACACCTCCTCCCTTCTTAGCCACACTGGCCTCCCTTTCCCAGATCCAGGACCCCTCTGCTTCCTACCTGCTCCTTGACCTGTGTCTCCTGGCAGTACTTCCACTTTTGGAACACTTCAGATAGTTTTCCCAGTCCTCCATGATGGAAATGAAAAACTTTGTACTGACTTTCTCTGCTGGCTATCACCAACTGTCCACTGGTACAAGCTTCATCGCTGAAATGGACAAAATCATAAAGACCATCTAATTAAAATTAAATATATTTTTTTAATCTGTCCTTATAATATATAAAAATAACAGAATGTAAAAGGAGACTTGTAAACATGCTTTTGGCAGCAGATTTGAAACTATTTCTCATTTAGATGTTTATGCCACCTGGAAAAAAATATTTGTCTTTCATTTCCCATATTTTTTCCTACTTTAAATAGCGACTCTTTATTAATTGTTTAGCCACTAATGCATTGGGGTATGATGCAGTTGCTAAGACATAGTAATGGCTGTTGTTTATCTGCACATCTTTTCATTTAGGGCAGTTGTAGTATTTGCCAACCTAATAAACATGTGTTCATAGTCAGACTGGCAATCTGGGGGAGACAAAACCCCATTGACACAGGCCTTTATAACCTCCGTCAAACTTTTATTGCTGCATTTCTACTTAAGAGATTTTCCACACTTTCTTATTAGTAACAGGAGCTGGTGATCAGGACAGAAAATCTCTGCATTGAGGAAAAATTGCAATGAAATATTTTTTTTTTTAGTAGAGCTCAGAAGGATTAAATCCACTATCTGTATTTTATTATTGAGGGGGAACATATATTCACTCTACTTAGAGGGGCAATTTCTGTCTGTGTCCCCTTGGGGTAGATTACACCACACTTCCTGCATGGTTATCAGGCAGGATGTCTACCCAACACACACACACAAGTAAAAACTAGACTGAGGATCCAGCGTTCCGTAATCTGTGAAAAAGTAAAAAAATGTTTTGCCTGGAGATCTACTTTAATCACAAATGCACATAACATTTCACATATTGTCATTGGACACATATTTAAAAAAAAAAAATCAAGGTACTTTATGGAAAAAGTATCTGAACCATAAGGGAAATCTACCCAATACGCACTGAACCATAATTTATAGCAACTATCGGATGCTCATTTATCAGAAAAAAAACTCAACCGAATGCTTGGTGATCAAATCTGTTCAGAAGTATTTTAAACAACTTCTGGGTACAAAACTGTTCACATATTTTTTGAATGTAATTCTTGACTGGCTGGTTTTCGATCAAGGGCACAACATTTTATTGTTAATCAGGTGAGAGATCTAATTGGCCCAATATTAAAGGGCACCTTTATATATAATATTTCCCTCTGTACAGGGGAAACTAAAAGGTGCTTGGGAGATGGCTAAATTGTCAGAGAAACCCAAATGTCAAAAAGATACAAAATGCTGTTATTACCTTTTTGCTGGGCTAGTGACTTTGACATCATTGGACTATACTTTGTTGGGAGGAAAGAAATGGTTTTAAGGGTTTCTTTTGGAGCAGTCACAGTGTTGCTGAGACTTTTTGCAGATCGCACTGGACTGGAACACAGGCACTAATGCAGGCGATCGCACTGTGGGCGAGGGGCCTGCTTGCACAGCCCACGCCCCCTCCCGCCCCTGAATGCAGGTGTTTTTTCGTTGGTAGATCTCAATGAGCTCGTCATTTGAAAAGTAGATCTCCAGATGAAAAATAGTGGGCGCCCCTGTCCTAGATCAACTAAGGTCAAGGAGCCATTTTTTCTTTCTTATAGTACCTGTAAACCTAGAATCCAGCTACTCTAGCTGCTCTCCCATCTCATATTTGCATCCATCTTTGTTGTTGATTACGGCAATGTAATCTATACATCCATCTTTGTTGTTGATTACAGCAATGTAATCTATACATCCATCTTTGTTGTTGATTACAGCAATGTAATCTATACATCCATCTTTGTTGTTAATTACAGCAAGGTAAGCTGCAGTAATGGAGAGCGAATGCGTCACTAACTATCCAGAAAACAGCGCCAAACAGGGTGACTTCAATATCACATGTTGTGTAAACATCAGATCCAGCCTGCAGTAGTAAAAATAGATGGCTCAGCCCCATGGATCCTTAAGGAACATAACAAATGTTGAGTGGATGCATTTTATCTCCATGGTTTCAGTATTGCTGTTTTCACCAACAAAGATAGATGGATATTCTGCTGACTACTAATGCTGTTTTACGGTGATTAGTTAGGAGAGCAGATAGATTAGAAGGATTCTGTACTCAAAGCTACCATACTATATAACAAAAGCTGGCTGACCTTATATGCTCCAGGTAGTCTCAGCAACACCTAGCTTGCTCTAGAGGAATCCAAATAAAACAGCTCACCCGTCACACAGAACGGCATGATGCTATTAGTCATTAGCCCAACTAACTCTACGTCTATGACACAAATTACATGGGGCTTTTTCCTATTTCCGTCACCTTATTTTCAGCTGGTAACAAAAAGAGAGATTTTATTAATATGAAAAATAAATGTAGGTTTCCACATTTATAACATCTCTGTAACTTGAAAAGGTTTGGCTATGTAGCCCAGATGCAGTATGGTCTCCTTTACGAGTTAATCATGTTGCTGATGTCCGGGATCCCTGTAGCAGAGACTTATGGGAGTGGAGGTTCGCAGTGGGGAAAGATGTATACTGGACTGAACTACAAAAACTACATTACCCAGGCTGCAGGGAGGAGAGTAAGTGAACTCTGTGTGGAAGCCCAGGAATTCCAGCTTGGGGCGAGACAGCAGATACAAATACAGTGCTCTGCTAACTCTGCCTGAGAAAGACTGTAGTCTCGCCCCAAGCAAGCCAGCTCTGGATTGCTGGCTGCTTACAGGAGAGGTCACTGCTTGTTCCCTGTCTGGAGAGCGTTCGGATTTGACTGTGGCTTGAGCGCTGCTCGGTTCGTATGGAGACCTGGTTTATATGAACGAACACTGGGAGTGACAACTCTGCTGATGGAAGATGCCTGATATTGCTGATTCCGTCCAATGATAACTTAATCTATAACAGAAATCAACGCCTGAAGCCCATCCAATACAGAGACTGCTATCTTTACTACTAGAGTGGTGAACGGCCACAGGCCACAATGCAGCTGTTTAATAGAGCACTTCACCAATTACATTTGGGCCCCAACATTGGCTAGCCGAAGATTTTACCACTTGCCAGTTGGTTAGGTATCCAGGTATATTGGAACTTTATCTAGCACACATGGGACTCTCTCAGTTAGATCAACAGATATGTATACCAATCTGTGCTAATTGTGCCATATACACATTTGAACTGTTAAGCTGTGTAAAGTTAATGTGATAATCCCTCATTTATATATTCAATTATATCCTCTACTATCTTGTTATCTTGAAACCAGTTTATAGTAAAGCTCATATAAAAACCCCCAAGGTGTGCTGTGGATCCATTGATTGAGGTCTATCATAGAGGAACGACATGGAACCCATTCTACTATTCTCTGCAGCTCCTTAGGGAGTGCACTACAGCTACATCCTATAATAATCCTAATATAAACAAAAAATATATAAAACTATAGTTTATTACATCAAAAAACAAATGTATATACACTGATGGACCCCAAAAAAGTCACCACCTGGATTTAGCTAAGCAAATAGGTAAGAGCCCTCCATTGGATTTTTACTGCAGTGTTAATATGTTCCATATGTTATGCCCCCAAAACAATTAGTTCAGCTGCTTACCTGAATATTTTGAATGACTAGCAGGGTTATTAACAAAAGGGTGAAGAGTTTGGAGAAGGCAGGAGAAGTGAACAATCTAGGACAACAAACTGAACTGGAAAGTGAGCGGAATTTGGAGAATTTCTCCAAATCAGGTATTTTGGACTAGATTGTTCTGCAAACTCTTCACCCTGAGTGAATATACGTGAATAACCCTATAGGTTTTTCCATCAATTGATTTTTTTTCTTCCATGATGTCATGGGCATATTCCAAGATGACAATGCCAGGATTGTGCAAGAGTTGTTCAGGGAGCATGAGACATCAATTCAAAACATGAATTGGCCACTAGTCCAGACCTTAACCCCATTGAGAATCTTTGGGATGTGCTGGAGAAGACTGCACAGCAGTCCAACTTTCCCATCATCATCACTACAAGATCTTGGTGAAAAATGAATACAACTCTGGATGGAAATAAATGTTGTGACATTCCATAAGCTTATTGAAACAATGCCATGGCAAATATGTGTCGTAATCAAAGCTAAAGGCGGTCCAACAAAATATTAGAGTGTGAGACTTTTCTGGGGGCCAGGCAATGTATATACAAGATATGTTCCCAAACACAAATTGGAACATATGTCCCTCTAAAAATATCTAAAAGAAATAAACCCTAAGGCCCTGTTCACACCTTTACGTTTTGTCGCGCGTTCAAGTCTCTATGAACGCTCCACAAAACGTACAAACATGGAAATCCCATTGTTTTCTATGGGTATGGTTCACACCTTTCCGTATTTCCGCCCGTCTGAAACACCCTACAAAACGGCCAACGCTCAAACAAGTACACTGGGCCGTTTTTGTTGGGTGTTTCCATTGGGATACAGCCAAGTAGCCCTCGGAAACGCGCGTCTGTCGCGTGTTTTTTTTACCGCAAATCGCGGTAAAAAAAATGTGCGACAGACGAGCATATTCAGTACGCCTAGGTGTGAACCCAGCCTAACTAATATCGAGTTCTTTTCAAGATTCGAATATATGTGTATGAAGATAGATGTGTGATAGATAGATAGATAGATAGATAGATAGATAGATATTGCAGTGCATCCGTTCTTTCTCTCCTCCCCCGCTGGGCACTGCTCCTTATCCCAGCGGGGAGGAGAGAAACCGTCACAGGCTGCCGAGCACTGTGGGAGGTGTGCTCTGTGAGCGGCCGGCGTCTCTCCTCCCCGCACCGCTCGGCCTCCTGTCACAGTTCGGGAGAGCGGTGTGGCCAGAGAGCGAATACAAACACTCAGCGATCAGTGATCGCTGAGTGAGTGTAAATAATTGAGGACATAGTATGTTTACTATATCCTCAATTATGAATGAGTGGGAAGTGATCTACATCACGATTGTGATCTACATCATGATTGTGGATATAGTAAACATATTCTGTCGTCAAGTTATGAATGAACAGTAACACTCAGTATAGATGTTTCCTGTTCATTTATAACAGGGGCTGCAGAAAAAAAAGAGATTGAGGACCCTGTGTCCTCAATCTCTTTTTGCAAAGGGAAATATCAGGGGTCTGTTTAGACCCCCAATATTTCCCAAAGCCCCTAAAAGTAAAGTTAAAAATACAAATATTTAATAAAAATAAATAAAAATAAAATATACATTTATTTTGAAAAAGTTAGAATAAAAAACATTTTCGGCCTGGCCTTTTCATTTCGGTTTCGTTTTCGAAATTTTCATCACGGTGCACCTCTACTTATATATATCATTTTTTTATAGGGCTTTTTTTTAATAGTGCAGGTTAGGTAAATTGACATCCAAACAGTTTGGAACCAAAAGAAATGATTGGATAACCTGACTCCAACTACCTTCTTTTAAAAGATGTTGTTTTCCTAGAAGTTCTCAACTTTTTTCCATTACTTAACTTGACTTTTTAAACCACTTACTCAAAATAGATATAACATCCTAACCTGCTTTTATTTCCTTTCTCACCTAAAGAAGAGGCGCAGTGAACGCATATGACCCAAGTCCACTCTGAACACTCCACATGTCTGCTCAAGTGCCAAGAGTTTCTGCTGTTCCTCCCATTTGGCTGGGGTTCCACGACCGTTCATCTCTCTGTACTGGAAGTTGGCTTCGGGGCTGGATGCATAGCAGGTCATGTGACTGTCAGCATCTTGCCTGACCAGGGAACACAAAACAAAGAGACCCTTTATTTTCTAGTTAGAATATGGCAAATAGTTAAATGGTGCAACAAAAGAATACATTGGGCCTCATTTATATTTTGCAAAAAAACTATTATATACTTTACAGAATAAAAGCAAAGAACAGTTTGCCAGACTGATCATTGTGACTGTACTGAGCATCACATATATTTTCTTATTTTAAATAACGTTTAATCACATTTACAAGTATTTATTATCTCTCACAAGGGTCGCATTACTCCTCTGACAATTGCTTTATCTGCCTTTTTTTCTGGGAAAGCACCATCTTTGTTCAGGTACTCTCTAGTATCAGCATCCACTTCCTAAACTGAGATTCTGGCTTGCATATGACAAAATAATGTAAATCTTGGTATCTGTGCAGCTTTTGGTTAAGTTTACAAATGTCTAACACAGATTAACCTCCTGCTGCAGCTTCTCTCCTTGTGACTCCTTCAGAGTTACAGTGTTGCAGTCCGAACAATGGGGGAAGAGACAATTGAGAAAATGCTTCCTCCTGCCTGCAGCAGTCTGATGACACCATCCCGTATTTTAAGGGGGGCATGCTCAACTGGTAGTGGTAAACCATGCATGAGACAGGAACACCCAAGAAAAGTCCAGGCAGGTTTGTCCTGCATTTTTATTCAGCAAGGCAGCAAACAAACCATGACATCCTAACCTCTGGTATACCTTTTACTGGTAATATTTTAGGGTTGCTTCCTGCTGAGAAAATCTCCCAATCCCTCCAGGGTTTTATTAGGTTAACACAGTATATTTGAAATGTGCTATCTACAGTGAGCACCAAAACTCCTGTATTAAAGGTTGAAGTTTAGCGTTAACAAGACCACAAAACCAACCTTCTTGTGCGTTTTTAAGCATAAGCCGATTTCTCAGTTTCCTAGGGGTAGCATTTGTCGCCCTAATGATGCACATAAGTGTTCATAGTCGTGCTATGGCAACAGTAATTTGTTTTTACAAATTTCTGTTACTCTAATAGTCAGCATTGCATCTACTTAGGAGGAAATAGAGGATAGAAGAGTCATAGCGTAGACTAAAAGTGTCTACGCTTGAACTCCTAAAGGCCACTTTGGGACAGACTTTTTTAAAAGGGACAAAACTACATACATCATAATAAAAATCTCTTTGGGAGTTAAAATTAAGCTTTTTAGCCAACAAAGCATCTACATTAATGAAAGCAAAGACCAAATCATCAGACATTAAATATTTACAAGTGACTACAACTCCATGCATGAGAATTTAACTTATCCTAACTAAAGCCAATGGTCACACGTTTCTCATATCCAAAAGGAAAGAACGTATGGCAGAATCTACATGCATACAACTATACAGAAACTATGAGCTTGAAGTGCTACTAAAGGAATTTCCATTCTGACCATTAAAAACCTTTCTCAAGCTCTACATTGCCTTGGGTTATCATGCCTTGCAGGTGTTGAACAAGGCACGATGATCTAATGATGAAAATGTATCAGTCTTGCTCCTCTCATTAGATGGCACCCTCCTGATTTTCTAAAGGAGAAAGGTAGAAAGGTAATTGCTTGTACTGAGATGCAAATTCACTGGCATATGCAGGGAGTTAAACAACCACTAGGATTGTAAATTCAGTCCACCAATGGAAGAGGAGAATGGGATTTGAAAGGAAAATTCTAAACTTCATGCACCTTAATGTGATTTCTAGTTAGCTGATCCATAAGCTACCTTTCTTGCTGGTGACTACTATAATAATTTGGGACCCTTGGTTTTCATTTCATTAGACTTAGAGGTTTGTTTAAAAAAAACAAAACTGCAAAACCATTCATCAAACGAAACTTAATTTGTTCTGTTTGAAAGAAGGCAAAGATGAATGTTGGTATATTTTATTTGCAGGCTGAATGTAATATCAGGTAAATACCACATTATGACCACTAGATAGCGCTGGAGAACATAGGAAGAATGTATTTCCTTTGCTTTTCACCTCCATCTAGTAACCATAATGTGGTATTTTCCTGATACTGTATTACAATTGACTGGGAAAGAATATATATTTTATTTATTTACTATTGGTATTTATTTAGCGCTGACAATTTATGCAGAGCTTTACATACTGTACATTCACATCAGTCCTTGCCCTCGAGGGACTTAAAATCTAAGATCCCTTTGCCTCTATTCGCACAAAACAAATGTACATGAAGTTTCATGGGACGTATGGCTGTGCAAATTTTGTCTCCCCTTAGAATCACTAGACATCTATCCTGCTGACATTCTAATTTCACCTATCCTGCTGACCAAGAAATCTACAGTGATACCTTGTGCACGGTCAATCTCTGATGACCATGAATTTCTATTATACACACACACCACCTTCACAACTATTCATGCAAAGCATGGATACAGATTCCATAACCTTTTAAAAATAGGCACAGAAAAACAGAATTCTAAAAGAGTTCTAAAGGTCTTGCTTAGTCTTGATAAAGCATATGCAAGCTTAATGCATCAGGTGAGTTTGAGAGCCTCAAAAAGAGGAGTGTTCTCAGTTAAAGGAAAATCTATAAGTCAGAAATGAAGACAGAGATAGGATAATGCAAACCTTCTTCCAGCCAATGACAAAGACCATAGAACTTCTACATCTGAGGAGTGCAGTTCTGGGGGAGAGCGACCCAGTTAAGAGCTGGGCGGGGAGATGTGTAAGGTCTCTGCATCTCCTCTCCCAGCTTTTAGCCACCTGGAACACTCTGGCCAGTGTAATCCTGAGCTCCTGCTAACCAGAAGTTCATGGGATGCCAGCCAGAGCATCCCGAGGGTGGCAGACACACTGCAAACATTGTGCAAGCCATGCTGCTTTGCCTGTTGCTTTTCTTACCTACATTGTCATGGGGCCTCTATCCCAAACTTATGTACAGAATGTGTACAGTATGTGCAAGATAATGCATCTGACAGCTACAAAGTGCGTCTTGGAAAGACTAGGTTGTGTTTTTGTCAGATCTCCCTGGTCATGAAACCCTTGCACTTTTCACTGTGGGCATATATTAAAAGAAGACTAACAACTCTGCTCACTGTTTAAAAACAAAAGAGCAGGAGTAAAGTCTGCACTGACCTTAGGCAGTGTTTGTTTTTCTTGGCTACAATTCCTCTTTAGCTAACAATCATCCTAATCTTTATATTTAAACATAGCTTATTTACACTCTCCTGCTCAAAGCCACAATTCCACCAAACCCTAAAATCACCTTAATATCAAATATTCTGCCAACAGTATGTTTATTTTCTTCAGATTGTAATATTTACTGGATTGTACCGCACATCTTACTATACAATAATAAATTGAAGATTACATTTGTTTGCCATGAGCATAGCACCCTCTTGTGGCAAGAACAGAAATATGCAGATGGAAATGCTCAAAGATTATACTGTAACTATGATGAACTCCATAAAGTAGACTTAAGGCCTGGTTCACACCTGGGCGTTTTACAGCGCTGTAAAACGCTCAACATGTGAAAACCAATGATTGCCTATGGGCATGGTTCCCACCTGGGCGCTTTACAGCGCTGCAAAACGCGCTGCAAAACGCCCTGCAAAACGCCCCACGCCCAAAGAAGTACAGAAGCTTCTTTGGGGCGTATTTGCCACGCGTATCCATTAGGATACAGCCGGATAGCCCTCGGAAATTGCTGTAAAAATGTGCAGCACTAAGCGCGCGGCAAACACGCATATTCCGTACGCCTAGGTGTGAACCCAGCCTGTTCACATGAGTATCAGGTCCGGATCAGGTGCGGATCTGCAGACGCGGTGCTATGTGTTTTTGCCGCGTTTTTCATGCGTTCCAGTTAATAAAAAATATATATACATATATATTTTTTGCTGGAGTGGGGCTGTAAGTATGTTAGCTGCAGTGCAGTGCAGTGTGTTATTGACACATTTTTGACGCGTTTTGAGTTTCTGGACCGTTTCCTGACCGTACAAAATGTGACATGCAGTATTTTTTCTGTCGTAACCTGAACGGACTGCGCACGTGAGAACTGTAGCCCATAAAACACATAGGGATATATTGGGATACATTTTTAGTGCAGGAGCGTACGGATCAGGTCAGCACAGAAAACGGACGTCGTGTGAACAGGCCCTAAAACTAAGCTCTTTTCTTGCACAAGGATATTCTAAAAACAAACACTTTTAAAAGCAAGTCACATTTTCAAAGCACAAAATACAAATGAAAGCATACTAAACTGTGACAGGTTACCTACCGTGTGTTATTTTATTGAACTTCATATTAACATTTTGTTCTTAAAATTATCTTAATACAGGATAATCACAACACAGCTTCCGATGTATTTAGTAATATTAAGCTGCTTACAGCAAGCATGTCAAACTCAAATGACTCTGAGACTCAAAGTCAGGATGTAGTGGGCTACTGTTTGCTATACGCTGATAGTACAGAGCCACACTGCAGCTGGGAAGGATCCGGACAATGTTGTTGGGATCCACCTGGATGCCTGAATGACAAATGGGTTCTGCCCCTCTAGAGCCAAAGCCAACCCTGCCCACCCTCTTGCCTGTCTGTCCTTCCAGTGATTGCTGGTGTAACAGAAAGGGGAGGGGGAGTCCCCTGTGTAGAGTGGTTTGTGATCACTCAACTCTCGGGGTATAGAGTCAGCATGTGACAGCTGCAGTGTCCCTCATCAACTCTACGTATTGGGAAGAGCATATGTTACTCTCCTAATACTTCTCCTTTAACTTGATTTGGTTAGTGCACATACAATTTTGTGGTCTGACAAGTGACTCTACATTTCAAGCAGTGGAAACAGGATACACATTTTCAGATTCATGGAGAAATTTAAAATCTATTCTCAAAATGGATCACATCCTTGTTAACCGTTCTCTCTTACCCGTAATCTCCCAAATGTATATACCAGATAAACCAGAATCTGATCATGACCCAATTGTGATCTTTTGCACTTGATTACTTCTCAAACCCACTCGCATGAATGATTG